TCATCACAACTAAAGGAAGGGAGTTATTAAAAGCGGTTCAAATATATCGGTGTGAAACCTTATCAACGGGCAAACCCACATACTGGCCTACTGACCCAAACAAGGTTCCTGATCTTATTGATTTCCTTATCATAAAAGATGTTTCAAGCAATTACATGAAAATAGAAGATCTTTTCGATTTAAATTCAGATCATTCGCCGATTGTTCTAACTTTAAGTGAAAACATTATAATGAAGCCAGCTAACCTATATCTGACTAACAAATGGACTGATTGGGAAAGCTTTAGAATTTTACTTGACCAAAGAATTGAATTAGCAGTTCCATTACAATCTGAAGAACAGTTAGATCTGGATGTAGAAAAACTGACCAATGATATCCAGTATTCAGCGTGGTAAAATGCATCTGAAGTTTGTTTAAGACCAAAAGGTAACAATTATCCTAAAGAAATATTGGAACTAATTTTTGAATAAAGAAAAGCGAGGAAAAAATGGCAACAATCCAGAGTCCCACTAGATAAAACTAGACTGAATAACTTAACGTCTCAATTGAGAAACGAAATTAAACAATTTAAGAACGATACCATGAGTGCGTTTATATGTGAACTTACAAATGACTCAAGTACTGAATATTCACTTTGGAAGTCTACCAAAAGACTGAAAAGACCAATTATGCAAACCCCTCCAATTAAAAACATTGATGGTAGCTTTGCTACCCAACACGATGGATGACACTACACTGTTACCAAACATTATTGCATAAGAAAATATGGAAATACCACGGGTCACTCTAGCTGAAATCAAAAAAGAAATCAAAAATACCATGAACCCTAAAAAAGCTCCTGGTTTCGACCTGATCACCGGCCAGATACTTAGGGAACTACCAAGGAAAGCATTACTTAAAATAACCAATCTGATTAATGCATCATTTAGACGACAATATGTACCGTCATTATGGAAAGTGCCTGAAGTTATTATGATACCCAAACCTGGAAAGCTACCCCATGAAACCACATCATACCGACCAATTTCTCTGCTTCCGGTTATGTCCAAATTGTTTGAAAAACTTTTATTGAAAAGATTAAAACCAATAATTGATGAGAAAATCTTATTCCAAATCATCAATTTGGTTTCGGAATCACACTCTACATTGATCAGGTTCATCGAATAACTGTACAATAGAAAAACATTAGAAGAAAAAAAGTGCTCAGCAATATTCCTTGATGTAGCACAAGCTTTCGATAAAGTTTGGCATGAGAATTGAATATAAACTTAAAATGTTACTTCCAACACAATTCTCGAAAATTCTGAAATCATATATATCAGAACGATTTCAGAATCAAACAAGAGGACGCTTTTCTGTCCTAAAAATCCAAGCGGGAGTTCCGCAAGGTAGTGTATTGGGACCAGTTCTTTATCTCTTATATACTAGTGACCTACCAACATTTAACGAAAATATTGTTGCTACATTGCTGATGATACTGAATTTTAGCCGTTGGCGACAATAATATTGAGTCAACAGAAAATTACAAAAAGCCATTGCAGAAGTACAACGCTGGACAACTACTTGGCGCATTAAGCTGAATGAAACCAAATCAGTGCATATCGATTTCACCAATAAACGTATACAGCACAAACCAATATTTATGAACCAAAAATAGTTCCGTATGAGAATACAGCAAAATATCTGGTATGACCCTGATACTAAACTTAGGTGGAAATCACATGTCAAAAAAACGAGAAGAATTAAAACTTAAGTACAAAAAATGTACTGGCTATTAGGCAGATATTCTGCCTTGTCAATAACAACAAGCTACTCTTGTATCAACAAGTCCTTAACCGATCTGGACTTATGGTATTCAACTCTGGGGATGTACCAGTCAAAGCAACAGATTAATTATCCAAATATTTCAAAACAAAGTACTTCGTGGTATTGTTAATGCACCCTGGTACATTCGCAATGACAATTGCATACGGATCTGAATGTAGAAACTGTTGACACCGTCATCAAAAGTATGCTCAAAGTCATGCCAACGACTTCAACAACATATCAACATTGAGGCTCTCCAGCTCCTAATAATGATGGCCTTACCAGAAGATTAAAGCGAGTAAAACCTTTCGAACTTGTGTAAAAACAAAAAAACAAAAATTAACTATAAAATAAAATAATCATTGTTCAGGTCTCACTAAAATAGTGACTATAATACATACATATGTATAAGTTTAATATCTGAAATGAATATCATAGGATAAGCATTTTGTAATTTTAAAACCGTATAAATTTAAGTCAGAAACAAATAGTTTATTAGTATTAATTTACTAGATTGCTATAAAATAAATCCCCCAAAGGGGTGTTTTTACAAAATAAAAAAAATATAGGAAATTACACTTAGATAATATACACCCAGCAAATATAAAAATACCAACTAAATTTTCAGGTACTCTGGACACTAATGCTTTTCACACTAATAAAACCACCACAGACAATTAAGGTTACACTCATCGTAGAGAAAATTGAAAACAATGAAGGCTACACAGAAATCGTTTTGGAAAACATGATTTTAATTCATAATTACAGCACATATTACACATCATAGACATATCCAAAATAAAAAATATTATAAACACTTTAGAATCAAACATTGAAATTTTAACACACAATGAAAACTACGACTATATTCATAATGAACTGAACAGACTTATTTACAAAATGCCAACACTCGTAACACATAGAAACAAAAGAGGACTATTCAATATATATATTATACAAGTATTGTAGTAGGAACAGGAATGAAATGGTTATATGGCACAATGGAAATAGAGGAACATCTTAAAGTAATAGACGAAAACAACCATAGAGCCATTTCTAACTTAAATAGAAATATAGAAATAAATAACTTTTTCAATAAAAAAATTTACAGACATTAAAAAGGAAATAAAAGACGATAGAAAAAAATTGAAGCTGGTATAAACGGACTAGGCGTAAATAGACGCTTGGAGAAACAACTCATTTATTTCGATTTATTGTTAAAAGTAAGAATATTAAATGATAAAATTGATCAATTGCAAAATAAATATTGCCGCTTCCAGACTCAATATAATGAAAATATTTTAACAAAAGAAGAAATCATAAGGTATGATATAGACATGTTTAAATTACAAAATATAAAGTTATACACAGCACTGTATAAAAATAGTAAAATAATTTTTGTTATTCAAATACCAAATTAAATTATAAATGCTAGAAAATCTATGTTTACACCACTTCCTAACAATAGATCACAAGAGTTAGTATTCAGTACAGAAGAAGTTGTAAAAATAAATAATACTTGTGCATACTATTCATTTCAAGAAGACTTAATGAACATGTGATGTAGCTCCGCACACATTATTTAAACATAAATATCATTTTATTTGTACATGTATTATATATAAACATATATATATACATACAAGTATTTACAAATAAAATATTGACCGAAGCATTTAAACATAGATGCCTTTTCATTCATACTTGGAAGGTAGTAAAATGTTAAAAGACCGTAAGTAACATATTTATTGTAATAAAAAAATTCTTATATTTATAATAAATTATAATATAAGGCATTTCCCTTGCAATTAAAGGTTCTGCGACAGGCGTTAACAGCCATGGCTACAAAAGATATCCTTGGTCACCTTACAATCACGAATATATATTATACATATTTATATGTTATATGTAAATACAAGTACTTATGTAGCGTATACGTGTTGGAGATGTGGTGCAAAAACATATGGCAAGACCCGGGATATCTCTCGTTGACAGCGGTGAACAGAAGTCGATGATAACACATGATGAGGTATAAAGCAAAACAAACGCATATTTTTTGTATTGTGAGGGTTACTTTCAGACATCACAGATTTATGAGGAAATTTTGAGCATTAGACTATTTACGCCAGCAAGCCATAAGGTAACTCTCACAAAACTCATAATAGTAATAAATTTGCATTACTCTCATTTGGAGGTTTCAGCTAGATGTGTTGCGAATGCATTTGCTTTATCGCAAGCACTTCTAGCCCATGTATTACTGTTAATTTTTAATGGCGCAACGTGACATGTTGGACGTTTAAGATATTTGGTAGCGAGTAATCATCTTTTTTATCAGTCGATAGTTGAGATAAGGATTTGTGTATTGACTCATTCTTAATATAAGTGATTTCTCGTTTCTCTCAGCTGCTGGTCTATTAAAGGGGTTTTGTCTAGTGATGAGCGTGTTGGTTGCCATATGTGAACCTATAATTTTCCGCTTTATCTCCGGAGTATTATCCCAAGCAGTTTGTTTAAGTTCTTTTGTAAACCTGTCAATTTCTAGCTCTAGGTGTTCGATTGTTGTGATTTGTGGACAGTTTATTGTAGCTTGAATTACTTGTTTGAACGAAGTGCAGTACATATTTTTGTTGTATAGTTTTAATTTTAGTTATTTTTTAATAACTGTTTCGATTAAGGTTAAATATATTGGGCAATGATCAGAGCTTAGATCAAAGCCCCCTTAAATTTCGTTAAAATTTTGGAATACTTTCTTAGGAATAAAGAAGTAGATTACATCGGGTATTTTGTTGGTATCCGTTGGCAACTAAGTTGGTCTTCCGGTCGATACAAACTCACATCCTGTTTCCTGAGCCGCCTGGAATAAGTCTCGTCCTTAGCTTTTGAAAGTAATGTGGCTGTGCCTCTCTCTCTCTTCTCTTTTTCCAAAACAATTTGAAGTTCTTCTTGGTGCTTTAATAATCCATTTGCGTTCCATGTCATAATTCGGAGAGCACCATTCATACCTTAGATTTCGTTTTGTTTTTATTTTTTTCGAAGTTATCTAAACGACTGCAAAGATCGAAATTGAAAATTTCTTGTTTATTTAACATCTCAAGAATTTGAGTCAATACGTCTATATTCAACTTAGTGTTGTTTGTGTTTATTAATTTTGAGTTACTTTTCGCAACTTCGAAAGAACTGGGCTTACTCGTCTGTACTCGATGTTAGTTGTTGACATAATTTTTATTTCCGGTGGGCAGATTATTTGACGTACTGAACAAATTAATAGGGACTTTTTGTTTCGAATACTTTGAAGCTCTTTGATTACAATACATCCCCTGTGGTTTGCCGGATCGCTTTCGCCACAATTACTGCATTTGGGTTTTTCGGAAATCGATTTTGGACACTACCGTCACTTTTCCGTACGGTATACACAATTCGTATTGGCCGCTAAAGACCAATACGGCTACATACTAAACCCTTAAATGCATTGTCATTGCTTTTTATTTGCCTGCACGGAACCGCCGTTAAGCATTACACCGTAAGGTCAAGCTTAGCCATTCGGCTCGTCAGTCAGAGCTATAGCACACCACACTCTCACTCTATCCCACGCTAGTTTATTCTCGTTAGTGCTGCCGTTCCACTTGTTGCTTTTTGACATACTTTATCGATGTGCGTCTTGTAGCTAAGTTTAGTGTCTATCAATACTCCTAGATACGTCAGCGACTGCTGCATCATGATACTATAGCCGTCTATATTTAGTTTGATTAACTCAAGTTTCGTCTTGCTTGTGATGAGCATCGCTTCCGGTTTTTACCCCGCAAGTTGAAGGTTTGTTGCTGTGAGCCATTCTTTGATCGGTGCTTCCACATGATTGCAAAGGTTCTCAAGATGGCCGTGTTTTGCCACTATAGTTATGGCAATATCATCCACGTATCCGATAATCTGAACCTCGCCAATGAGTGGACCTGTGGAACTCTCAGTACCGCATATTTTATTTGTCCTTCATCATCCGTATCATACAATAACAGGCGATCATATAGATAACTGCCTGTCTTAATTAAGTAAGTCGGTGTTCCCTTACGTTCAGGGCGCATGATATGGGTTAAACGCGTTTTGACATAAATGTGACCACAACCCGGTATTTCTTTGTGCTATACATCCATCTAGTTCCTTCTGTACTTGTTAGCTATATCAGTGAAGGCTTCTTCGGTATTGGTTATCAGACAGACCCTTCTTCTCTTGCCATTGCTCTAATCATAAACATATTATTTGCTCTAGTATCTTGCCAATCGTATCAGCATACAAAGCGGTCGGTATAGTGACTCCTGCTGTTTATTTAGTTTCTTACAACAAAGGCAGTCGTTCTTTTCACATTTTCGGGAAAGCACCATGTAATTCAGTAATCGTCTCGCATTGCGTTTAATGGCAATATAAGACCTTATTTGGAATACCATCACGCTTTAAGGTATGTTGTGTTGGATATTTAATTCTATGTGATATTAATACTATAAAAAGTAAATGTTAAATTCAATACTTAGGTAAGTACTCTGAATTAAATTATTTTCCCCAATGATAATAATCGTTTGTTCTGCTTTACTTTCTTCTTCTTTACATTCGTTGACGTTTTCTTCGCGAGCCGTTGCTCTATCAGCGTTAATAATTCTTCAACCTAAAAATAGAGTAATATCATATTTAGATATATTTATATAAAAACAAAGATTAAATAAGTATATAGAATATTTTGTAATAATAAGTCTGTAAACATTTAAAAACGTTTAATTTTTCTTTACTCATTTGTCGGAAAAGTTCTGCATTTAAGACAAAATATTTGAAGGAGTATCATAAACATAATTTATTCAGATTTCAATAGCGTGCATACTGCTGAAAAGAGTAAATTTAATAATATGAAATATTTGAAAGTTTGGTTTCTCTCCATATTTGATGAATTAAAATAATAAATGAAATAAAGATATATGTAATAATTGCCTTTTCGTGAAAAAGTAAACCTAAAACAAAAACGTTAACTTCGTTAACTAATCTATAACACACTTTACAGGTGCATTTCTAATAGCAACAAACTACATGTATGACCAAACAATCCTGACAGCTAACAAATAATGGCTTACAATGATGAAAACATTTTACTGGTCTTTCTAACATATTGACGATATAAACCGCCTTAAGTCAGATTTAGGATCTTTATAAGAAAAACATCTTTATAGATTTTTATCTTGCTTTTGATTGGATTAGTTGTATATTATTTGATCTTATTTCGTTGTTCGAAGATTAGGAGCTTATTTTGGGCAATATGTAAATGTTCGTTGGATATTCTCATATCAAGTTTTCGTAGAACGTTTTTGATCGGTCAGACTGTATGTCAGCTATATGCTATAGTCGTTCGATATCGCGATTTCGATAAATTAAAAGCTTCTTCGGGAAGGACGTGTGCAAACTTAGTCGATATCTCAAGCAGTGAGGGACTGGATTCGCGGCCTTATACACAGATAAACAAACGGACATAATAAATCGTTCGTCACACTTGATTATATGAATATGGTGACGCGGCAATATGTAAAGCATCATATCAGTGTCCGACAATTTAATTTTGATATTTCATGAGTGCAAACTGCTCAAATCGGCATCAGAAAATGTATGACTGGAAAATTTAAAGTGAATATTGTTTATTTTATTTTGATGAGTAAAATATATAATATATGTATAAAAACCGATAAGTGAAATATTATAACACATTATAAAACGAAAATGACAGCAGCAAGTCCCACAGCAGCAGAGCTTATAAGGAAGCGCGGTCAGCGCCTTACTATAGCATAATAAGGGATAGATCCTGCCTCCTTCTTGGAAATCGAAATTATTCTTCCTCTGATCTATAAGAACCCGGCGCTTAAACAATTCATTTTCAGTACATCGGATAAATTCAGATAGCAGTGCACTTCCGTCATCGGACGGCAGATTATCACCATGGAACGAAATTAAGCGGAACAATAAAGCTTTTGAATTCAAGGAAACCTATCATGGCCTTTATAATGACCATTTGCACCAAATATATGGCGTGGTATTACTACAATAGTTTAAAGTATATATTGAATGCAGATTAAATAACAAGTGAATTCGACCAAACCAAGCACCAAGGGCTTTCCTGCAGCGTCAACAGATCATTAATTTAAACATTTCTGAACAGCATAGATAAGGTAGCATTATTCGCCGTGGGGTATAAACAATCTGACCTAAGCCGCGCATGAAGAAAACCTTTATAATTCAGGACAACGAGACCGTTCTTCTGGTTCTCAAGACAATACAGGCGAAATTATCATAACTCAGGACAACATGTTCGCTTCTCCAGGCAATATAGGCAACCCGATCAATTATCCAGACAAATGAGACATAATAATTACATCGCACCAGAGCCGATGGAGGTAGACCACATCCAATAGACAAATTTTTAGCCACCCATCGACATGTCTACCGATAGTAGAACTCACTATAGGAAAGGTTAAAATTAGATGTTTGCTAGACAATGGCTCAACGACATCATTATTAAATAAATTCTGTTTACCACAATATAAGAGAATAAAGCTAGAAAATATTTTTACATTTAATACCTTAAGCGGGCAAACACAAGTTAAATACGAAGTTATAACAGAATTACCGAAAGAATGTAATGACGAAAACTTAATGAGAAACGAAGTTACGGTAGACGATAAATTTTCAATTCCAAACAATGAAATTATTCTCGAAGAATTAGGCCGAGCTCAGTACTTCACGATACTCGACTTAGCAAAAGAACTTCAACAAATCCTAATAAATGAAAATGACCGAAAGAAAACAGCATTTTCCATACCATTTAGGCATTATGAATTCAGAAGGATGCCTTTCGGATTAAAGAATGCCCCGCCAACCTCAAGACATCAAGAGGCATTCCGTGATAGTTCGGAGTGCAGTGTTCTGACAGGTCTGTAGCTTCTTCTTCTGCGTGTCACTGCATCCACGCGACCATATTGGGGCTGCGTAATTTAGGACCGGCCGGCCGATTGCCTTGTATGTTGCCAACAACGTTTCTTTGTCTTTTCCCCAAGAGCTGCCGGCAAGCGACTTGAGGATTTTGTTGCGGCTCTGTACTTTGGCAGTTATCGCGGTCGTGTGAAGAGTGAAAGAGCACAGACTGTCCAAAGTAACGCCTAAAATTTTAGGATTATTTACTGTCGGAATTTTAGTGCCATCGACTGAAATATTCAGGTCCAGTCTGTACACCTTCGTCCAATTTGTGAAGATGGTCGCTGTGGATTTAGTGGGAGAGAGTGTTAGGCTCCTTGCAGAGAAGAAGCGAGAAAGGTCGGAGAGGTAGCTGTTTACTTTTGAACACATGCCATCGATTCCATTTCCCGACGTCAATATCGTACAGTCATCAGCGGACGAGGTCACTGAAATTCCCGCTGGTGGCTGGGGGAGTTTCGAAATATAAAAATTAAACAGTAGTGGGGAGAGAACACCGCCGAACACGACAGAAAGTGACACCAGCCAGTGCAAGAACTGCACTTGACTGATGTGACATTCCGGCGTATTGTGGTCTGACACACGGAACAGACTGTGCGAGGAACCAGGAGTTGCTGGGTGGTTCTCGCACGAGGATTGGAGCTGGATGAAGGTTGGGGGGGAGGTTGGTCAGACTGGGAGTCATGCTGTCTGTGTGAGCTCCTTGGGACCGTGGAGGTCCTATCTTGGCCACTCGACTGGAGTGGCAGCGCAGTGCGCGAACATGGTGCAGGTTGCACAGCCGTTGAGGCAGATGTCGCATTATTGCGTTGACAGCATGGGGCCAAGTAACTTGTGGTCCACTCCCTATGTGTCTTAAGGCCTGAACAGGTCTTAAGATGGCTCCATCCATTGCATGTATTGCACCTAACCGAGGTGGAGTTTGGATGGAGCCTTTTAGCGCAAACGCAGTGAATTTTCTTAGTATAGCTTTAGCGGTGTAAGAGATGTGCACATTAAACCTATTAGGGGGCGGGACCACACCCACTTTTTCCAAAAAAAATAAACTGCAAATGCCACTCCCTAATGTGATCTTGTATACCAAATAACAGTCTTGTATCTTATTGTGGAGCTTAGTTATGGCAATTTATTTGTTTTTGATTAATGGCGTTTTGTGGGCGTGGCAGTGGTCCCATTACGCAAAACCAACCCTCTTACGGTAGCAAGAAACATGTATACCAAGTTTCATAAAGATATCTCAATTTGTACTCAAGTTACAGCTTGCACGGACGGACGGACGGACAGACAGTCACCCGGATTTCAACTCGTCTCTTCATCCTGATCATTTATATATACAGAACCCTATATCTAACTCGATTAGTTTTTAGGTTTAGTACAATATGTACATATATACATACATATTAACTTCTATTTCTATATTGATTTAAACAGAATCTATAAATTTTATTAACTTCTATTCCTATTTTGATTTAAACAGAATCTATAAATTTTACTTACTCAAAATGGGTAATCGATTTCAAGAAATGTAATTTAGGTTTTTATATTCAAGAATCAAAACCTATTCGGTTGTTTTTAATCCACTAACATGTTTTTAAGAAATACATGTATTATATATGTACCGATTGCTATACATATATTGGGAATGTTTAAAATTGTATAGTTTAAGAAAACCAAATTACGTTTTTTTCGAAAAATGGATATTTTTACGCCTTTTAATTACATAAAGAATTGTTTAAGTATATCGTTTGTAGTAACTCTTTCGAACCATATTGTTTGATATAAACAGCCGAGTTAATGTACTTATAAGGAAAAACATCTTTTATAAAGTTTTTTATCTTGCTTTTGATTGGGCAGTTTTAATGGCTATAATAGTCCGATCTAA